GTTGTAGTAGGTTAGTTGGTAGTAGTAGTAGTATAGTACACTAACACTACACACACACACACACTACTATATATATATATATATATATATACTACGACACACACACGTACTATATATATATATATATATATATATATACATACATGAATATATATATATGGACATGAATATATATATATATATATACATACATATATATATATATATATACATATATTTATACAAATAGTCGGCATGATCACTCTTTAATGTTCACTTGAAACTAAACTCATTAAGAGAATCTGTTGCAATTGCATCGTATAGTACGTCTCAGTGTGTAAAGGTAATAGTTTGCGCTAGGCATGTTTAGAAGGAATAATCATAAGGTACACGATGCACAAAGTCGGAGTTGTGGCGCATTGATGATGCCTGAAAAGTGCTAGACCCCATACGCTCGTAGGAGTAGGCTCAAGAGTATTTAGAGTTCAGGGTTTAAGGTTTGTAGTCACCCCAAGCTGTGGTATGCCAACACACGGGCCTACCAGCCAACCCACCATACGACATACAGAACCATACTTGTGGTCACAAAAGGGAAAGGTTTAACGTATCACAGAACAGAAGGCTCTCATAATGACGCAAACGAGCGATACGAATTAGGTAACGGCATATATCTTTATACCAAATATGACAGAGGGTTCTCAATCACTGGTACACGGGATATACAATTGGATGATTTACAAATGGTGTGTATTGTCTGAACAACTAATATAAGTCAATACAATGGACTATACTACATAGCTACAAATACAACACACCCTATAATTTCAGCCGTACCTATAGAGCGGCACCTGCACACGAAGATACCCAAGCAACATACACGGACATACACAGGTATATATATTTTTATGCAACAAAACACCTAGCGACGCATCGTTGCAGTACTAGTCCGATAACATCGAAAAGACACACGTGTACTTATTCGAGGTTGTGCGTACACAAAGGTACCCGTACTAAAACTGCATCGCTGAAAGCTCTTGCATATACATAGTAGTAGTAACAAGCACACATAGTAGTAGTAACAAGCACACATAGTAGTAGTAACAAGCACACATAGTAGTAGTAACAAGCACACATAATAGTAGAAACAAGCACACATAGTAGTAGTAACAGGCACACATAGTAGTAGTAACAAGCACACATAGTAGTAGTAACAAGCACACATAGTAGTAGTAACAAGCACACATAGTAGTAGTAACAAGCATACATAGTAGTAGTAACAAGCACACATATTAGTAGTAAGAAGCACACATAGTAGTAGTAACATGCACATATAGTAGTAGTAACAGGCACCTTTGGTGCGCATAGGTGTATACCAAAGCACTCAGCTGAGATCGTCGAAGGATGCTTGACGTCCTACGGAGTATAAATGGTTCTACTTGTGCGTGTATATGGCGATGCGTGTTGCGTAGTATGTTGCCGCTCTGCAATATATAACCCTTCACTTATGAAATATACTTGTACGTTGTCCTAAATATACATATGCGCACAATTCATCCAAACATCTTAATCCTTGTACCAGAGATGCATCGACAAGCTGCTATGAAGATATATTGCCTTTGCGTAAACGTTAGTGTATATGGTACATACAAATACGTATATAATCAGACTTGTCACTTTTACGACAACAATACTCGTGGTCCAACCCATGGCAACAACAATGAGACATTGTGACTATATTAATATATATAAGTACATTTCAAACCATTGTATTACGTATCCGTAACACACCGCTGTACACAATTGGCAATACATACATCTACAATACCTCATAGCCGAAATATATCTCCTTGCTCTCCATGTCTTCCTTGTGCGAATTTAAAGAGTTTCCTGATCCGAGTTTCTGACAGTCTAGAGCGCCACCGGGAGTATTTTTTTCACCAATAGTAACATACGAAGTCACTGCTTGGATGGGCTGCGAAAACCCTGAGATTGCCTGGAGATCATGTCTATAACTACACACGTATGAGGAGAAAATACATTAGCTTTGTATACGCATATGTATATGTGTATGTATGTGCATATATATATATATATATATATATATATATATATTACTACTTACATATATAATA